TGAAAGAAAGAATGAAGTATGTAATTTGTATTAGAAATAATAGATTTGAAGAATCTGATGAATTATGTTCATGGAGACGGCCAAATACCAAAATTAACATTGTTTATTTCATATAATCAAGGCAGATCTTTATACTTTTAACACTAAGTTGTACCTTCAACAGAACCAGAATTTTCGGCAAACATGTAGCCCCCTCAGGAGGAATCCTACCTGCTACCCAAAAAATTTTCTTCGCAGCCATCTGAAGACACATCCATCCATGAAAAAGGTTTGTAACTCTATCAAATTAATTCAGAAATTACGAATATTTATTGGTGAAAAAATACCGAGTTAGTAATACATAGCTCCATTTAGCAGTATTATACATGAACTTTTGTTTTCCCATTACTCTAAATTTGTGTTAAATGATATTTGTAATTGCAGGTTCTGCTGTTCTATGGTCAACACCAGCAACACTGTTGTTGATCAAGGCATACAATGACAGCAAACGTGATTTTTCAAGCAGTTCCAAAAGAAAATACAAGGTATGGGAAGGCATTGCGTCAGTGCTCCAAGAATCTGGACATCCTGTCACCGGGGAAATGTGTGATAAGAAGATGCGAGGACTGAAAAATAGGTTTGTATCACTACTGAATGGATATATTGTTTAGATTCTATAGGATATTTAAAGGTTACCTTATATATGTATAAATCATAGCCTACTTCCTTTGTCATATAGATTATAGCTATTTCTTTTGAGGTTAATATACATGCCTCACAAAAACCAATTTTATTGTCCTGAAAAAAGTTTGATGGCTGATTAAATTTTCCATGAAAAAAATTATTACATATACTTACAACTAGTATCTTCTTATTTTCAGATATATAATCATTAAAGATAATGCAGAATTAAGTGGACGAAGCAGTGACACACAATGGCCATTCTATGAGGCAATGGACGAGGTTTTCCGACGTGACCCTTGTATCAAACCAGTTGCAAGAGTCATCTTTGAGAATAAGTAAGGCATTTTACATAATGTTTCAGAAATTGATGTAATGAACTGATTATTTGTGTATATTAGCTGAGAGATACTAAAACTAAATTGAAATGCTTTTGTCTAACGCATAAAAAATATATTCAATATATTAATGAAACCGTCATCACTTGGTCAACCTTCGACCAGTGCAGGACATTTGAAAATGTGGAACTCCCACCGCCATCACCATCACTGTCTACCAGTTCAAGAACTATCTCTCCAGCTCCGTCAGCATCATCCCTTCCACCACCAAGATCTGGCAAACGGAGGCATTCAGGAGAACGAGAATTTCCTGATAAAAGAGAACATGCCTTGTCGGCACTCGATAAATAAGCAGGCGCAACATTTGAGAGGAATGCAGTTTTAGAAAAAAAAAATGCAATCTTTAACTAACCAGCATGGACAATACTTGGAGCATCATTTACAAGCAGACAGAAAACAAGAAAAACATGGCGAAGAAATGAAACAAATGAAGAGTCGCTTGGTGCAGCTTCAAGAAGACCATCGACGAGAGCGACAGGAAGACCAGGCCAAAATGAGGAGACAGTATGAACAGACGCAGCAGCAGTTAACTCATATGTTACATGAACACCACAAGGAAACCCAGGCAATTCAGCAACAAATGCTGCAGAATCAAATAGTGCAACATAAATTATATGCCACCAACCATCAACAAATAATAGAACTACAACAGTTTATGTCTCTCATTGAAAAGGTTGCTTCAAAGTAGTTATAGATAACCAGTGTTACAAATCAAATATTGTATTACATTAACATTGAAGCGATTTCTTTTGTTACATAACATTGTGCATAATTTATATAGAAGCTTTATTTTCAAATAGTTTTATGTTTTGTATTTTCTTTAATTTTGTAAAGGTTTATGTAAAGCTGTTTAGAGCTGAAATGTTAATTTATATGGCTAATTTACATTTCTTGGTTCATTCTCATTTATACCTTTCTCGTGCAGTTGTCATGCATACTTTCTACGTGCAAACTCTTGATTGTACATCTTAGATATGTTTCCCTAGATTCCCTCATGTTTCTACTTTTGTTTTTCTCTTCCTACTCTCTCTCTCTCAATTTTTCTATTTCTATTTGTGTTTTTACTATTGTTTTTCTCTTCCCGGTCTGTCTGTCTGCTTCTCTCTCTCTTCCTCCCTCCCTCATCTCCGCTGTCTCTCTTTCTCTTTGAGACCATCTATCTATCTCACTTTTACTCCATCCCCATCCCTCCTTTCCCTTCATTACCCCCCCCCCCCGGAAAAAGCAATTAGCATTTTAGTTTCATAGTTATCACTGAGGTTGTATTATATGCTACATTTTTCCAAGTTGAAAAATATATGATTTTACCGTATGCTTTAAGATTTTATTTAATTTCTTACACTTTCATAACTTGAATAGGCAATCTTTTGTAGATTGTTTAAGTGTAATGGCATTTTATTTTATATTTTTTATTGGTAATATTGGTAATTGGTAAGTTCCAATTATAAATTATTTACTTTAGCTATAGGAAATTCCAGTACAATCATTGCTCAGGTGCTTAAAGCTCAGGAAAAGTAGCTGTAAATTTATATTTTTATACAGTGTAACATGAAGTTTCAAATATTTTGTATAAATATTTATTATAATTTTCAATATGTATAATTTAGTTTAATCCCTTCTGTGGAGTGAATAAAATAGTACAAATGGCACAAACATCTTTTTATTAGCCATAGCTTATGGTAAGTAGAACCAAAAAATAAACACTGACTTTTTAAATTTGCAGTCAAAATACATGTAAATGTGAACATGTATACAATGAACTATGAAAGATTTATGTACAAAAACTGAAAAATGGTATAAAATTACGAGAAAAGAAAAAGAGATGTGATCTATCACAGGTGATTATGTTACCTTATGTACATTGAAATATTTTATGAACAACGAAAATATATACAACATATTTTGAAGAAATTAATACAAAACACAAAAAAAAGACAAATATGAGGAGGCATTACTTGCAAGCATACAAACAGCTTGATGCAGGAAACAATGTAGACAGAAGTTACATTATGCAAGCAGATTAACAGGTTTATTTAGTTTAATCCCTAAAGCAGAGTGAATAAAAATACAAATGATACAAAACATATTTTTTGTTTACAATAGCTTATGGTAGGTAAAACCAGAAAATGTCGAACCGTAACTTTTTAAATTTGCAGTCAAAATGCAATAAACTATGAAAGAAAATTTATGTGCAAAAACAAAAAAGATATAAAATTAAGAGAAAAGAATAAGAGATGTGATCTATCACATAATGTTACATCATGTGCATTGAAATATTTTATGAGCAACGAAATTATGTACAACATATTTTGAAGAAATTAATACAATATACATAAAAGACAAATGTGAGGAGGCATTACTTGCAAGGATAACAACAGCTTGATGCAGGAAAGAATTTACAAAGAAGTTAAATTATGCAAGCAGATTTGCTATTTCATTTGCAATAGCTTCCTCTCTTTCCACTTCGGGAACACCTTCATATATAACCTCTGGCTCGGGTTCAAAAACAATGTCTTGTAACTCTGTTTGAATATCCAGGTTTTCCCTGAACAAAATAAAATTATGTAAAACACAAGCAGCTGTAATAATTAATGGCATTTTGTCAACTCTGGTCATATCTAGGCATTTTAACCTTCGAAATTTACACTTAAGTAAACCAAATGCTCTCTCGATCACAACCCTAGTAGAAGAATGAATTTTATTAAAAGATCTCTGTTCAGGTGTGAGATGACCAATATTCTTGTAAGGGACAATCATGAATGGTGAGAGAGGATAAGCCGAATCACCCAGCAAATGAAAATCTCTGGGCAAATAATTGTTTTTCAAAAGTGAATATATGGGAGAATTTCTATACACCCTTCCATCATGTACCTACCCTGCCCATCCTGAATATATATCGAGAAACCTTAGATTACAATCACAAACTGCTTGCAGCTGAATACTTGTAAACATTTTCCTGTTTACATATGAGTCTTTATTCTCTTTGGGACCTGGAATCTGTATATGAGTTCCATCTATAGCACCGACAACACCAGGAAATCCAGTTTTCCTAAAGCATTGTTCTGTAAATGTATTAATTTGATCTCTTGCAGGCCATACAATGATATTTTCCATAACTAAATTCAGTGCACATGCTACTTCAAGAAATACTTTGTGTAGTGATGATTTGCTCAAGTTGAATCTGTCACCAACACATCTGAATGACTCTTGGTTCCCCAAAAGCCAGAGTGTAACCAGGATCTTCTCTTCAGACAGGATCTTATTGGATAGATGGGGTCTAAGAATCTGACACAAGTCCTATTGATTAAGAGAAGTATACATAAGAACAACTGAAAGGCAGTAAAATGTAGAATACTTGGTAAATTCAGATTACCACATGAACCACTTAAATTCTTGAGAAATCATCCAATTTCATTTTTTTAACAAATTATAAGGCTTAAAACTAAAAGAAACAAATAAAAAAAAACTTCTATAGAAGTACAAATTAGCTGCTGAAACTATAGACATATAGCAAATACACAGATTCCCATTTAGGTACGAGGACTATGAAAAAAACTATTGGTAATTACCGAAATGACTGAAATGTTGTTACTAGAAATATTGTTTACTTCCTATTTCTAAAAATTATTGCCGAGCATTCATCCACTTATGCATAGAAATACTCCAGCCAAGAGCAACAAACTTTGTTTATGTAAATTATTCAAGATGGGGTAGACCTCCCTTGAAATTACATTAGATATGCTTAGAACCTCACTGAATTAGTTATAAATTGCATATAATATATGGTGATATATATTTACATAGGAAGTAATAATTTCCAAATCCTTTGGAAGGCAGAGAAGTAGGGGCCTTCCTCGGAAGCCCCTTTCGATGTCCTCGGCTCCATTCGGAGCTGCAAAGACTTACTAGAGAACTAGAGAAATAATTGTTTATATCCGGATT